ACAAAAGATAGTCCAACAATTTTGTATAAAGATAATGCTGCTTGTATTGTACAACTTAAAGGAGGTTATATCAAAGGTGACAGGACGAAGCATATTTCTCCAAAATTCTTTCATACACATGAGTTTCAGAAGAATGGCGACATCGATATTTAACAAATTCGTTCAAGTGACAATTTGGCTGATTTATTTACAAAAGCAATGCCAACGTTTACATTCAAGAAATTGGTTCATGGAATTGGAATGCGTCGAGTCAAAAGATTTTCAGTGATCAATATCAGAGGGTGTAGCGTACTATTTTTCCTTTGCTTAGGTTTTATTTCACTAGATTTTTCTAGCAAGGTTTTAATGAGGTAACATTTATCATTAATACTCCAAAATAACTGTACTATTTTCCTTCGTTTTGATTTTTTTTCTCCAATTGAGTTTTTATCAAACAAGGTTTTAATGAGACATATATTTTGTAATGTGTCATTCAAGGGGGAGTGTTGTAAAAGGAAAGTAAATTATGGTTTAATGTGAATGACACTTGTTCCCTTACAGCCTTAGATATTATTACCATATGTATCTTTATTCCTTCCCTATAAATATAGGGATTTGGTTCTTATTATAATACACACAAGTTTATTGACTTCTCTCATTCTCTTCTATTTTTCTCTCTTTTTATAATATAAAATACAAAATCAAGCATACAAATTAAAAATGAGTTCGATCAATAAATAAAATAAATTTCACTATAATGTCAAGAACTATGCACTAAATATTTATAAGTAAAGACATTTTTAAAAATTGATCGATGGCATGTTTAGTTGGTGAATAGAGTTTCTAAAACGGAATAGACCTTTTTTTTTTTAACTGTCCATAATTAAAATTCTACTCCAAATTTAAATAGAAAGACAACTGAGATCATTGCTTCCTTTTCTTTCTCACTTTGAATATCGGAATGAAAATTGGAAATGAAATATTTTAATACTATTTACTTTTATATGTTTTATTTCTTACTTAATTTAATTTAACTTTCTTGTAAAAAATTTCTTTAAGGTATAAAAGTTGACTTTATATTTGTAAGCTTGAAGTCTGTTGAATGATGGTTTAGGTTTGAATTCCTAAATAGATTATTATTTCTATTTATGTGCTCAAAATCTACAAAAATCCATGAAAAAAATTTAATTAATAAAATCCCTAGAACTCTATAAGTTATTGAAAGACCTATATTTTACTGAAATATATTAAAATATGAATTAACAACACCATATTTATATATACTTTTAAAATCCTTTAAAATGTGAGTTGAGAACACCTTTGTATAGATTCATATATTCCATATTAAGGGTGGAAATAGTTTCATTTGATTCCAATTATAAAATAATCGAATTGAATTATGACCTAATGATTTTTTATTTTTGTTATAATGGAACCTATGATTTTTTTTTTTTGTAAGGTATGGAACCAAACCTGAATCGAACCATTTGGATCTAGTTTGGTTTGGTTATGATTTTATTACTTAAATTTTCTGATGATATATGCAAATTAAAATATATCATCGCATTCATAAGTTAGTAATATATATTTAAATCAAAAAATAAAAATCAAACATTCATCAAATATACTGTGGTGTCAAAGTGCGAGTGTGTGTCTAAAATTGAAAAGGAGATAAATGAATTAGAGTTTAGATTTAGGGTTGGCCGCTTTGTCTAATAGGTGAGAACGTAAAATATAATAGTAAATGATCTTTTTGTAAATTTCATATTTGTGATTTTTAAAGTCGAATTTTTTGGTTTGATTCACTGACTTGCAAAAGAAAAAAATATATAAAAAAAATAAAAATTGAGTTTTGTTCTCGATTTGGTCCTCGATTCTAGGAACCAAAACCAATTATTGTCTTTGTAGAATCGAACCATTCGATTTGGTTTAGTTCTGGTTTGGTGGGGTTTGGTCTGATCATTTTGTCCAACTCTATTTCATAATATATTGGATGATTATATAGACGCCCCAAATTTTATTTGTTACACTATATTTTAAATGCAATTGATGTCCATAAGTATCATTCACTATAACACTTATATCTTTAACTTTGTTTTGAATTAATATTTTTAACATTTCACCTTCGATAATGGCACATAATTTAAAATAAGGAAAAAATAATACTTTTTTATGTACTTTTGTGTTTTTTATTTTTTTTTATTTTACAAATATGATG